CGAGCGAACGCGAGGTCGGGGGAGGGAAAGCCTCAGGCTCCTTCCATCGGAAAGTCAGGTGACGTCAATGGCAGGGGGTGAGGTGGTCGGAGATGGAGCTAAGCAGAATGGACCCACTGGGTGGTTTTGGGGTTGCACACCACTTTTTTTCCAGTGTTCGGTCCAAATATGTTTGGTTGTCCATGGTGCAAGCCTACCAAAATCAATGTGCAATGGGTCCCATGCAGACCTGTCAAAATCAATGGACTCCATGTTGCTGGGCCTTGCATGCGGTCATGTGAGTCGTGTGTGTGGGGAGGACGTTGGGAATAAAGCGTTTCCCTGGTGCCGAAGCTGATCAGCCATGGCACTGCAAGGTCATACGTCTGCAGCCAGCCATCAGTCCTTGGTGCCCATGGCCGACATGGTCCTTGCAAGACACGTTTCCTCTACCAAATAACCCATGTATATATATATATACTATAGTGATGACTATTATGGTGTTTTTGCTAGGCATCAATTGTGGTAAAAAACACGTCATGCGGCGTTTCTTTTTTGATCATCTTTCATCCGCAGGTTTGTTGGATGAATAGAGTTCTCAGCTGCTCCAACATTGCCACCCCACGCAGTTCACTGCAGGACGTAGGTTGAAGTTGCTTGGGCTCTTGTGCCCAACGCTGAGGAGAACAGGTTACTCCCCCGACAAACGATCCCATGGAATTTGAGAAGAAAGATCCGTAGAAGACCCTTTTCCTCTGAATTCAGTGGTTTTGGGGTTCCAAGTTAATCTGCAGGGAGGTATAGTCAAGTTTTCTCTGTCAACTCAGTAGCCCAAACCTGTGGTAAAGGGAACCGTCAAGCCAAAAAAAATAACTCACACCTCGACATCTGGCGGATCCTCTCTCTGACCCATCTGTGGTGCACTGATATCAAATACCCGAAGGTGCGCCTGTTGGATCTGTGTCGCCCACCGTGCCCAGCCGCCCCACGGTGATCGTGGCGTTCACATTGGTGAGCCTCAGCCGCGTGGCCGTGGCAAAAGGGAAGAACCGATCTATACCAGGGCCCCTGGCTTGGGGTGGTTAATGGACTAAGGGGCTATTGTTAGTCACCCCTTAGGGGGCCCTGGTATATATATATATTGTATAATGGTATTGGGATATTGGATTGTAAAGAACCTACAGAACAAAAGCAGCCCTACAGCCCATCCCATACGTACCAGTGCAGGGTCCTATAAGTGTATATTATATATGACTCCATACTGATACACCAATCAAAGTTGTCTCATTATCACAATATGTCGATGGGATTAGATTTGGAACATATGATTAGACTCTTTTCAACTCCACGCGCTCAGTCGAACTGTGTCGAAAAAACACAGAAAGCCGAGATTGACTGAGGGGGCCTCCAAAACAACCTGCTTGAGTGAGGCTTTTGGAATCGGACGGAACCAAGTTATATAACCATGTGGTTCAGCAGAAATCTCCAGAAAAGGTGAACTTCCTCAGCATATCCTTATAGTATTTGTTTTTCTATATGGACCATTCAGCGGTTCCAAAACAATGACCCAGGAGCTAGAATCAGCTAGAACCACCAGGTCCTTACTGTCTTTGCTAGAATTTCCCGGAATACGAAGCCATGAGCGGTCTGGACTGGTCAAAAAATGCTAACCAGGCAAATTGGCTCAACATGGTCAAAAGATTTCAAGAGGAATTTGCACCATACCAGGAAACTAATTTTTACATACATGTTATATATTTGCTTTTTGATTCCATTTCCCAAGTATGCACAGTACGGAGTCATTGAACAAATCGAAACAACAAGGGGCCTGCACATTTCTGCGCGGAAGTTGCGCCCAACCATATATTATCAGGGAACACTTCTTTGTTGAGAACTCTTTCGAACAATTTTACAGGTGAGTGATGGTGAGTCCATGTGTTTTCCCCCACATTACAGCCTCAGCCCCCCCCCCCAGTCGGTGCACCATTCGCCAAACTCCAGCACATCGACCAGGCCATCACCTTTCGTATCCTTGGGCAATGATCAGAACGGTGGAGGACATGAGAATGCGAAAGGGGATTGAGATCACAGCGGCAAGGTGGGGAGACGTCTAAACCGTATGGCGAGAGCATTCGAAGAACTTCACTTAACTCTTCACTGGCACTAGCTGGAATCATCATGAAGTTGAAAACCATCGATTTGATGTGATCCTATTTGTAAAGGAAAATGGTTATCCAAGGGGCCATGTCCACTCCCACAATAATTCCGGACTATGGACATGTAATTCCGGGGAGTGCAATCTTCGACCTGAATCTCATCGTCCAATCCACCCCTGTACCAGAAAATCCAGCTTTTCCAACGTCAAAGCTTTTAAGCCAATCCAATCCAATCCAGGCGATTGAAACTCGAGTGTCCATCCTTGTAGAAGGTCATGCATTTTAAGGAGATCGAAGACATGCATTTTTAGGCTTTGACTTCCCTGTCATCATGACAATCCAAGAGAGGTGAATTGACCTTATAGTATAGCACCCTACTGAGGTACCAGTCTATAGGGTTCTTCAACCTCTGTTGGTCTTTTGTCTTCTTTGGTCTTCAGCGTCGAACATGCTCTTTGCCTTCTTACCGCCTCTATCCGCCTCCCATCGCTAGCTCCACCGGTAGCCGAGGATCCACCTCTTGGTAGAGCAACGCGGATTGACGTGTATCCCAGGCCATGGTCGCAGTGAGATGTTGGGTGATGACTTCAAACTCCTGGTGGTCGATCTTCCTGGTGGCTTTTTCCCAAACACGAGGACGTCTTTTTCGAGAATTCACGGCTTCGTCTCAACGAAACACTCGTGGACACATCCATCTCATTCTGCCCTTCGATTTAGTGCGAGCCTGTATATTCAGCTCTCCAGGGCTTGTGGTTCAATGTCAACGGATCTGCGGCCACCGTTTCAAACGTGTTTGGAGTTAGCCAGCAGCAGGTTTCAACCTAACCTGTGTTTGTTGAGTATTGTCTGTCCTAATTGTCACTATGATTTGTATATATATATATATATATCAAGCTGCGATTCACTTGAAACCATCAACATCGACGACAATTGATTCTTGATGCGTTTTTCTCGGTACCACAGGCCAGCTCCTGTGGAACCAGCTAAGTCGTGCTCAACTCGTCGACCAGCTCCGTCGCCCCATCGACCTCAGCTCTCACCGAGTATCCCATTGCCGTTGAGGTCAAAGGCTTCGAACCAGTTGGTGATGATGCGCGACCTCGGTTTGAGGCGGTTTTGGTCCGGTTGGGCTCCGGTTTGAGCTCCAATTCCCATGTGGATCCATGTGGAGGGTGGTGTAGACCCTTCCCCTATGAAATTAGTCAACTGGGGTAGTCAGTCATAGGTTTGGAAGTCCAGTAGGCGATAGCAGGCGTAGGGGGGGCATAGAAGTAGTAGGACTTTGTCCACCGATCATATCCATGGAGCATGATGGATTGTCAATTCCCCATTGTCCACTACGTGCAGTGGGCGTACAAAAAATGACGCCCAGTCCACCCACGATACAGTAAATGCGTGATTGATCAATCTCACGACAAAGTCTGTGCTGGTACGACTTCTCGTTTTGTGCGTGTCGA